TTATGTTATGTTATGTTATGTTATGTTATACTGACAGTAAATATCTCTGTTTTGCTCTGTTGGGTTGACATATAGAATCTTCTTGTCCTTAGCAGGTACTTCCTGCCAATATATTGGTTTATGAGTTTTAAATGATAAATCAGTGACACAAAATTCTTTCCCATTTTTGATGACTGAGAGTTGCTGTTTGAATATTAAGTAAAATTTTGTTTACTCTCACAACAGCATACATAATATCTAAAAATATTATTATCCCGGAGGGTAGATACAATCTGTAACCTCTCTATGCAATAATAACTACCTTGAGTCTATATTTTAAAAGACAAAACCAAACTAAAACATATAGGCATGGCGCCGACATTCTGTTCTTATGTAATGTCTCCCATTGTCTTCCTAGTATGCATTTTCTGTCATTTTCATCATTCTCCTAATAAAATTATAAACGCTATTACACAATAAACATTAGAAATGTTATCCCAAATAAAATTAGCTGAAAGGAAAATCGTTTCATCCTTTAAAAAAAAGAAATATTGTTCCTACCGTATCTCCTTCTGAAAATTGAAAAGTGAAAATGGGATAGGGGTAGAAAAATGACAGGGAATTTGCACTTGAGTTTCAAGCCATTTAGGATTGAAAATAAACTTTATATTTAAAATAAACTTTTCTTAAGTAATGATCTTCAAATTGTGGGCTCTTAGTGTTAGCAACTCATTTAAACAGCCGCACAGTAAAAACGGTTGGGCAGCTTTGTATTTTAATAAGAGTTTTGCCCATGAGAACTGCAAGATCTTATTCCATCAATAAAATCAGAATTACTGCCATGTATAAATGACAGTCTGAATCAAAGAAGTCCATGGCATTAGAAGAAAAAATATATTTTGGTCTGGAATTGGAGCTGATGAAACAGAGGCACCCTAAATAACATTTAAGAAATGCTCTGGCCAGAGATTGCTTTGATATATGGGTTCAGCTTCTTACCTTTATATTACAAATATTAGTAGTGGTGTTCTCAGAAGTCAACATCAGAAACTTGAATAATCCTTACAGATGTTAGTACTTTAAATAGGAAAGGTACTGTCATTCCTACAAAATAAACACATAGTAGGATGGAAATACAAAAATTCCGCCAAGATGTTAAAGTGTAAACACACGCTCTTGCAGTAAGTACATGGAGAACTACAGTGGGAAATTAAAAAGTTGAGGAAAGAAGTCAGACTGTAAATTATAAGGAAAAGTGGAGTTGGTAAATCTGTCATTTAACCCTGAGGATAAACGTCCTAAATGATGAGATAGTTAGGAATGTAAAGCTGGCAAAGGAGACGAACTACTCAAAGAGAGTGGAAACGAGGGGGACAAGAGAGACCTAAAAACTAAGGCAGGAATTTTGAGCTCTCTTCAGATTCAAGTCAAAGAACCTCTCTGAAATTTGTAACATGGATATGGACTCTAAAAAACCTCAGTAGTTAAACAAAAAGACATTAAGTTCAGTGATCAAACTGGAAGTCATAAAAACCAAACCAGAAATCAAAAGCGAGCACGAGATGGTAGTTCAACCAACGTAACAGAACAGTGGACATGGTAAATTCTTCAGTATCTTCAAATCTTAAATGATGATGTAATACACTTGTTCGTTCAAAGCTTCTAGACTGTGGGTGCTGACCCCCTCCCTTTCCCCAGTGTCAGAGAATGCAATCAGGGAGTTGCGAAGCGTTGAAAATTACTGCACTCTTCTCTACTCTTTGCACACCCTTAGTCTTCAAGGTCAAGTAACTTCCATCAACCTCTCAAAGCTCTCCCAGATTATATAGATTTACTGTCATCAATAATTCTTACACTATTTTATAATAAATTGTGAAAATCTGACTTAAATGAGAAACTTCAACCTAAGAAACTCTAAAAGGGCTCATCCAGTTCTGGTCACTATATTTGTGGTACAGCAATGAAACAAATAGATCATTACACAGATTAGCTGATAAAGTCTGTGCCATTACTGGCTGTGACTGTATGTTTTAAGTAACTATTTATAATGAAAATGAAGCATGGAACTATTTTCATGAGGGATAAAAACTTAGATGTTCAGTTAGGAATGTATTTTGTACTTGGCTGTTTCTGTAGTATGTTATTACTTCTACCCTGAACAAGTTTGGTGGGTACTGACTGCATGTGCGGCTTCTGTCTTCTGCTTTTGACAATAAGTTATGTTTCTTGTGCTGTTTGCATTAGTTTTGTGTTAAGATACTAACACTGAAGTCATGCCAGAGATACCACTTAAGAGCCACTCGTAAGATACTCATACTAGTTTATTTTAAAAACCTCATAAGTAAATTCACCAATGTATTAAATGTGCATGATACAGTCTTAAATTAACTTGTACATATAGCAGCTAAATGTAACAGGCCTTATAAAGTTTAAATATCGTATCTTAATCCAGACAGTGAAAACTTGTAATTACATTGTGTATGCTGGAAGTTTGTTTATTACAAGTTCACTGATGTCTTTGTATTGATTAGGAACACATAGTTTTCCCAGAAAATCATCCTCTTCATCTGACATGCTGTCTTCCAGGATGCTAAATTCAAGATCAGACACATTAGATGGCACGTAAGAGCTAACCTGAATTACTGACTGGTTTTTTTCTGCAGAGGTCTGCCCCTTTCCTATGTTCAGACCAGTATCAGAGCTAACTTGTTTGCTTCTCAGTGTAGACACTTGTTTAATATGCTGATCACCCCTGTTCTCTTCCTTAGTGATCTGTCGGGCTTCCTGCTCTTCATCCAATAACCTTGCCCAAATGGAGGTATCATTAAGTGAATCAACAGATTCACCACTAGTTCTCTTGCTGTTTTTTAAGTCATGGATTCTCTTCAAAGACTGGACTGGGGATGAAACTGAAGGAACTGGCTGAAGATCTGAAGTACTTTCAGCTCTTTGACTTGTCTTTGAAATTCTGGACCTGCTGGATTCTGGCTCTGTAACTGACCAATCTTGCTTTGGGCTTTCAAGCCACAGAGGTTCAGGACTGCTGTCAAGAGCTTCCGAGTCTCTGTCTGTACACTCAGAACTGGTGAAATCTTCTGAATAAACTGTACTCTCAGCACTAGCAATGAAGTCATCTGAGTATATGAATTCAGAGGTTTCAATGCTCCTGCTGAGGCTTGGTTTATGATCACTTATAACAGATGCATCATCATGCTCTGTGGTTTTACAGTGAATTAAGTGTATTGCTTCCTCATTACTTCCCTTTGCATTAGCATCTGATGGGAAAGCTGCTGGGAGTTGGGCTTTTGCATACTTTTCCTTGTGAGCAGATTTTAATACCATTTCCTCCAGTAAGGGGGCTGTAGTTACTTTGCATGGACATTCCTTGCTTTCATTTTCATTATTCTTCGATAGACTTGCAATAGCTTGTTTCTGCAGGTCAGGGGACACATATCCTGTCACAGAAATGTACTCTGCAAGAGCAGTGTTTTGTAATGAAGTCTCAACAGTTTTGTCAAACTGATTATTCTGCTTTGATCTGTCTCCCTTGCTACAATGCCTGTAAGAAACCACATCCTGTTCTCCAGCATTTCTCAGCAGCTTTCTTTTGAATAAAGGGCTTCTCTCCTTCAGCATCTCCATTTGCTTTTTTCTGTACTGCTCCCTCCTTTCATGAATTATCAGCTTATCAGGGTTGGTCCGCTGCAGCCGTAACCTCAGAGTATTTGTCAGCCCATACAACAGTTTCCTTCTGGGAGGTCTGTTTTCCTTAGTTTTGCAGTTCCTTTCAGAGCCTGTCTCTCCCTGGGGTACAGCTTTCTTAGGTCCTTTCCTAGGCTGAGAAGACCCTGGTGAGGTGGCCTCTTGCCGGCCTTGCTTGACTCGAGGGCTGGCAGCTCCACTGCTCCCACCTGGCCCTACAGTTGCCTCTGCAGGCTGAAGGGCAGAGGAATGGCTGGGAGGCTGTGAGGCCATGCCACCAGCCCCTGGGGCCTGGTAGAGCCAGGCCAGATGAGGATGGACAGCAGCAGGCATAGCACCACCAGCAAGCACTGACAGCTCAGCCAGCAAGGCACTAAGTAGTGGCAGCTGCCCCAGGGTGTTGTGGAGCTGTCGAGGGCTGCCGGGGTGCAACACTGAGGGCCCAGCACTGGGACGTGGGGGGTTCTGGCCATCATCTTGCTCCTGCGGTGTCCAGACCTCGACATGCGCCAATTTCCCCACAGCTGCTGCTGGTGGCAGATGAGGCTCAGCAGGCTCACGGCTGTAATATAGCACGGGTGGGCAAAAAATGTTGCCACCCAGCTCCTCGCCATCCTTCTCCCCGAGCCCCGGCTCAGGGGAGGCAGCGGGCGGTGTGGCAGTACGGGGGCTGGCCGGACT